CTCAGATCCCCTGGGATCTCTTTGTTTCAAATGTGAAAAATAAATTTGTGCAGTCCCAGTAGCAGTTCCTTGCTGCCAGCCTTGTAGATTTCAGCAGGTATACCATCTGGTCTTGGTTTCCTTTATACCCTGCCAGATTTATCGTAAGATAGAAAGGTTGGCAAAGAATCCCCTTTCAGGGTTTTGATGGATGGACTTAATGGTATCTGCCACAGTGAACTCATAGTTCAGGAGTGCCTTCAAGTGGTCTTTCCATCTAGCTTGGATAGATTCATTGTCTCTGAGGAGCGTTGAACCATCCTGCGATCCCAGGGAAGTTGGGCAATAGATGGCTTTTGTTGCTTGGAAAAAGCATTGTGTCACGTTTATGGGCATAGAGCTGGATCTCCTTGGTTTTATCTTGCCACCACTGATTTTTGTTTTCCCAGATCCTCCTTTGGGCTTTGGGGAGCTGTTACACCTCCTTCTGCTAAGCTGTCATCTTGCCAAACAGAACAAACCGTGCTCTTCCATTGAAGGAGGGCTTGGATCTTGGTGTTGCTGTCATTGAACCAGTCTTAGTGTTGATGGGTGGTATAGCCAATGGATTCAGCAGACCACAATGGTTTTAAACTCTTTCCAGAGTTCCTCAATGTTGCCTTCATTTCTAGACAGGGCACAGCTTTTCATGGAGATGCTGTTGGAGATCATTACAGACCTTCTGGTCTTAAAGAAACTTGGTGTTGAGAGTCCTTTGCATTGTTTTTGGTTGTTTTGGTTATTCTGAGCAAGCCGGATATTCATAATGGATCTGACAGGTGGAGATCTGTCCAGTAGCCCCTCACATGGCTCATGTGATGTGGACATCCATTCAGTTGCAGGTTTTAACTAACGTAGTTGAGGTGCCAGTTTAGGGCAAGGGTGTCAGGTGTCCCCAGATGGTCTTGTATTTGTGTCTGTCTAAAGATGTTGTTTGTGATGAAAAGACTGCTCTGTGCATTTGCTTAGGAGAAAAATGTTGAAGTTGGCTTTCTCTACTCCTTTCTTCTCAGTCGTGACACTCCAGAGTTTCAGATGACATCCGACCTGGTGTTCAAGTCACTGAGGAGAATGACTTCTTTGTCCTTGCGAGTATTAGTCAGAATGTGACAGGAGTAGAACTGTTCTTTGACATCAGCATCAAGCGTTGGGCATACACACTGATGACAGTGAGGTACTGGTTGTTGCTGAGTTTAAGCCAGAGGGCCATAAGACATTTGTCAATGCCCACAGGGAGTTCCATAAATTGACTGAGCTGATTCTTGATGGTGAAGCTGATATTGTGAATGCATCTGTCCTGAGCCAGTTTCCTCTTCCAGAAGAAGGTGTAGCCTCCACCCTCTTCCCACAGTTGACTGTCATCCTGTAATCTTGTCTCAATCAGAGCTGCACTGTCAGTGTTGTATTTCACTAGTTCCCTAGAGATGATGGCAGTTCTTTCTGGTTGTTTGTTGCTTTGATTTATCCATCAAGCTGCAACTAGTCCATGTTGTGAAAATCATTCTTATGATGTTTTCAACCCCAGAGAGCAGAGGGAATCCTGAATAGGACTGCTCAATGAGAGTAACAGCTGCAGAATCATATTCCTGTCTCAGCCCAGGTACAAGACCACCAGGCTACTGCACCACTTGCATGCAGATTCATGACCCCTTGGTTCACAGAGGAATTTCCAGGCATGATCGGGCCCCTCAAGCCCTGGAAATGCCTGCCTGTCTTTCCCTCCTTACTGAGGTGCACCCCTATGGTTTCTGGGGTGCATCTCTAGGAAGGAAAAGCCAAGTAGATCTCTCACAAGACTTGAGGGGCCTGATCCTGCCCAGGAATTCCTGGGGTGCACAGCATTGCGCCCCTCAAGCGCTCTGAGTACCTGCCTGATTGGCAGAGCATGGGCAGGTCCTGGCTGCCTGTACTCTGACAATAAGAATTAACATAGCCACTAAATAGCTGCACAAATTGATATCATTTTCATTGTTGCCATTATTTGTGGTGCCACAAGAGATGCAGACATCTGTTTATTTGACCTTTGTGCCATCATAAAAATGTTTGATGGCAGGAAGGTGATATCTTTTTCTACCCTGAAGTTTTCTTGTCCTGTGATGTGAGCTGTTTTTGAAAAATTAAATCCCTTTGTTTTGGTCTATTCCTCAACTGTCAGATTGAAGAAGAGGCTGTCAGATGGAAGATAAATATTTACATAATGATATCAGCAGTGACAGTTGAGAGAGATCAAAATTTATGGTCTTTCAAATCCACTTGCTTTTTTCTAGTGTTACAATTGTTTCAGGCTCCTTTCTATGCAAAACTAGAGTTTGTAGATCCCATTGGTTCCTGTCTTCTCTCCAGCTATCCCTCCAAATGAGGATAATGTCTGCCCGAGGCAGGAAATTATTGGTGAGTTTTAAGGTAGTTGAAGAGTCCAATGCATGCCCTTGCAAGTTTTTCCACAGATATGACAGGTGGTACCTTGGGGAGGCACAGCTGTTGGCCAGGATGTGTACTTTGCTGCTTCTACCATTTCTTGGCTTCCTGAGCAAGACGGTTCTCTTTGAAGTGGACTGTAGCTAGATGTATGGTGCAGTGCCATTGAGACCTGTTACCTGCCAGGACTTCCCAGTTTGTAAACTGAATGCCACCCTTAAGGTATGCTTTCAGGGTGTCCTTGTGGAGCTGTTTCTGTCCTCCCTGGATCCTATTACCATGACTGAGTTGAGAGAAGAGGACTTGCTTCTGGAGACGAGTGTCACACAGTGGCCAGCCCAGTGGAGTTGATGTTTCATGATCTTTGCCTCAGTGCTGGTTATGTTAGCTGCAGAAAGGATGCTGGCATTGGTGCAGTGATCTTCCTATCTAATGTGAAGGATCTTCTTGAGGCAGCTCTGATGGAGTCATTCCAGGTGCTTAAGATGGCTTTGATATGTCACCCACATCTCTCAACCATAGAGGAGCATAGGAATAACCACTGAATTGTAGACCAAGATCTTAGTTTCCATCTGCAGATCTCAGTTGGTAAAGTGGCTTTCTGAAGGATGTGCTGGCACAGCAAATCCTGCTTTCAGTTTCTACATCAAGACTGACTGACTGGAAGAGGTGCTTGCCAAAGTATGGGAAATGCTCAGTATTTCCCAGGGGTTCTCCACCAGTGGTAATTTGTGGGGGGAAGGGAGGTAGCTTGTGCTGGAGCAGGTTGATGGAGCACCTTTTTCTTCCCAATGTTAAGGGAGAGTCCCAGGCTATGATAAGCACCTGAGAAAAGGTCAGGGGTGGACTGCAGATTGGTCTGTGTGTGCAAGGGTAACACAGTTGTCAGTGTACTGAAGGTCAATGATGCTAGTCTTACTGACTCATTTTGCTGTGAAATTGCTGTGTACAACCAAGGTGATTCCACTTCCTGGTGGAAGTCTGTATGCATTCCTCTTGATTTGCCCCAAAAGGTATCTATTCAATGATATTTCTGTATTTTAATGTGTGCACAAATTGCTCATTTTAATTATATCACTGCTCAACAATCCCTTCTCTTGACTTCCATTATAGTTTTTCAGTATGGCTGCTTTTCCCCTATCCGTTCATCTTTCATGCTCTGACCTCTTTTTTCCACCTGCTTTATGCAGTTTTCTCACAAATTGTTTATTTCAAAAACTCAAGACCAGCCATTGTTGTGTAGGTGCTATTAGGGACTTCCCACTCCATGCCATCAACATCTTTCCTATGGTGAAAATAAGTTATGCTGCTTATTGGATGCTGTTCGCCTCTTGGGGAAGGGGAGAATTAAGAAGGTTGGAGAAGCTTTCTTGACATGGTATCAGCAGCTTATGGGGAACTCATGACGAGTGACACCTGTTGTGGTAGCAGGGGAAGGCTCTATGCCAGCAGCAGTGGCATGTTGCAGGGAGGAGTTTTTTCAGGCGAGAGAGAACTTCCTGTCCTAAGTTTCCCAAGTAGACTAGGAATCATGACTGCTTCCATGGAGTAGTAGTATTGGCTTCTTGCCTTAGCATAATAAACAAGTTAAATGTTTACATTAACATTCTCTGCTTGTAGTTTGTAAACATCAAACTGGAGCTATTTACCTGTTTAATCAAATGAAAGTACTAGTAAATCTTAAAAGTGGAGGCATGGTAGCATGTAGGAACCTTCTTTGGGAGCCAAGTTTCTTTTTCAGTAAATGTAAAATGGCCAGCTATTGCATGAATGTCCCTTTTAAAATTGTTTTTGTACAGAATGAATTGACGGCAGATGAAAAAAATAGAAGATTACATAACAGGAAATGATATAACTTCAGTGATGTATATACGGAATTAACAGAAATAATTTTTTAAAAAGAAACCTTTCAGGATATTAGGGGATACTACTTCAATCTTCCCTGTTGATCTCATTTTAAGATGGAACAGTTGATAGGTTAACACAGCGAGGGCAATCTTTTTGCTAGGCATACTATAAATTAAACCCTGCAACTCCCTCCTCCCCCCCACCCCCAAATGCCACTGTGATCTCCTTCCCTGCCTGTTCTGTTGCTCTGCTTTCTTCCCCCTGTCCTGTACTCCAAACCTGATAGGGAGCAGAAAGCAGAGCAGCATATCTGCCACTAGGCTGCCGCCTGCTTCCCTAATCTGCCATGCGCCACACAGAAGCTATCCGTGCCACTTGTGGCACTCATGCTACAGGTTAGCCATCCCTAGGTTAACAAACTGACAATAAATATTAATACTGAAGGAGTTAAAAGAAAAAAGTTTAAAAAGCAAATTACTTGCCTCTTACATGGTAAGTAAATTGTTAATAAATTCATGTTAATAAATTGTTAATCTTTCTTATAGGTTAACATCTTTGATAATTAAGCAGGTATATGCAATCAGGTAATGAATAGAAAGGATTTGATTTTTTTTTAAATACATTATAATACCTAAAATGTGGTGCCTGTTATTGGACAGGACAGTGTAGGTGTAGGTTACAAAATGGAAATATTAACTATGGGATTTATTTCGCAGGTAGAACCTGTCTTCAACAATTGGGATGATGATAGTGATCCAACTTGTGGTTCTTCTAAATCAAACACAAAAATGTTAATTGGCAACATTACATCTCTCACTGAGAGCAGTGGCTATATTAATCAAACCACCTTTTTTACAGTGGAAGAGGTTTGTGAAGGTATGTGGGTTTTGGAGGTCTTTTTCATAATGTTTTAGACATTCCAGAGGTGTCTTTGTTAAATGTGTTGAGCACCTTCTGAAAATGTACGTTTCTGTTGGGAGATGATTCCTATGAATGTAATGATTTGAATGAAGAAATGTGCTTGTTTATTTAGGAATCTGTTGGAAATTGAACTTTTATCTCTGAGAGAATTTCTCTTCGTGATTGGGATCATCTTCCCTTGCTCTAAATACAGATAATTTTACTGAGCAATTTCATAACATCCTCAGAAGTAAATATTTTGCAGTGGATATTATTATAAGAAGAAGAAGAAAGGCTACCCAGTAATTTCACGAGTTCCTTTTTAAGAAAATTGTGTACAGGCTGCATCCTACACTGATCCAAGAAGAGTTTTTTGCTACAGGCTGAAAGTTTGTGTGATCCTAAGAAAATAAAAGGTGGCTATCCATGAACTCAGGCACAAATTACAGTGGAGTGACACTTTAGGGCATTTATACACATGCTCTGGGGGTTAGGGAAGGTGGAGGGAGGTGCTTTAATTAGCACAGCTCCAAGACCTGTGCTAATTAAAAGCACCTGGAGTGTCAAATATATCAGTGTCCCTGCGCTGAAAAATGGCGGGGCACTTTGAACTATAGCTTGTTGAACAAGCTTATGGCCAGACCAAGGTTTGAGTCTCGGAGCATTGTGCCTTAAAAAGCAGGGGAAATATTAGAGAAAAATTGAATATTTTGACCCTCACAAGTTCAGCGTAAGATTAAATTCACAGACACATACCAAATGAACTTAAACTCCAGTGCGGATAGTCTAATCTGCATCCTGCCATGTGAAGCAAGTGATATATAGCCCTGTAATAAATGTGCTTGCAGCACATTTTTTACAGGTCAGTTTAAAGTCCTTTAAGTTGTGTCAAAATTGCCTGCACAAGATGATCTCTACACTCTTTGACAATGGAGTGCCCAGTGTCTGTTCTTAATAATTAAACTTACAAAAATTTTGCTGTTCTCTTAGGATTTGAACCTTATAAAGGCGATTGGGTACAAGCTGAATATTTTATTAATCCAACAACATGGAGCAGTGAAGCAGTCTCTATAAAGCCACTTAGATACAAGCGAATGGACAAGGTCTGTATTTGCATATTACTTTTCACTTATGACAGAGAAATAGCTTGTCCCATGCTATGGGAAGAAAAAAGGTTGTTGATGTTAGTAAGTCCACTATCGTAATATGTATTTTGATAATAAGTCAACATGGCATTTTTTAAACAGAATATTTGAAAAGGCAGTGTGCTTCAGTTTAAACCACATGAGGAATTTTGCCATTTCTATTGTTTGCCAAAAATGTGATGAATACCGGGTTCATGTTGGTTGTTTGCAGCTCCACTTCAGGTGTGGGCATCTAGAATTACATGTTCTTGATCCGGAACTAATAAATACCATGACTTCTTGGCTCTGGGTTTTATTATATTTGCTTTTATAATTGGAAAATGGATGCTTGAGTACATGGGTGGATCAAAGATTTCATAAAGAGGGGTGCAGGAACAAAAAGGAACAAAAATGGTTAGAAGTCTGAGAAACATGATATATGAGGAAAAGATAAATGAACTTGGATTATTAGTTTGAAGAAAAGAAGATTGAGGGGGGATTTAAGAACAGTATTCAAATATTGGAAGGGTGATTGTACTAGGGATGTAAGCAGTTAAACAATTAATCATTTAACTGATCAACTCAGCAATAAGCTTACTGGTTGCCATTTAGCCTGAAGTCTGGTGCAGTCCAGGATGGAAGAGGGTGGGAAAAGAAAGCCCTGCAGTGTGCCAGCAGAAACCAGAAGGCAGCAGAGCAGGAAGAAGGGGGGAGGCAGAGGAATGAGGAGAGGGAGAGGAGAGGAGCAGCCTGTACCCAGTGCTGGGAAGATTGGTGCTGCCATCAGTTGCAGGTGGCAGGAGAAGCCTCCTGTGATCCAGCAGGCAGATTGGGGGCCTGCACCCCCAGGAGTGCTGTGGGGCTCTGCCAGACTCCTCCCAGGGGTGTGGTCAGGTCCCTGATCTACCTGCCGGATCACAGGAGGATGCTCCTGTGGCCTGGGACTGGCACTGGGCACAGCCTGCACCCAGCGCTGGGAAGACTGGTGCTGCTGGCCCCAGCCAGCAGCAGCAGCAGCTTCCTGTCATCCGGCAGGCAGATCAGGGGCCACCTGCACTCCTGTGGAGGCTGTGCTGGACTCCTCCCAGGGGTGTGGGCCCCCAGTCTGCCTGTCAGATCACAGGAGGCTGGTTCTGCCACCTGGGGCCAGCAGCAGCACCAATCTTCCCTGCGCTGGGCGTGGGCTGTGCCCAGTGCCGGTCCCAGGCAGCAGCCTTCTGTCATCCAGCAGACAGATCAGGGACTGCACCCCCAGGAGGAGTCCAGCATAGCCCCACAGCCTTCCCAGGGGTGTGGGCCCCTGGATCTGCCTGCCAGATAACAGGAGGTTGCTGCTGCTGGCAAGTGACAGTTTTGCTTGTCATCACATTGAGGTGCAGTTTCCCAGAAATCCCTGCACCTATCGCCTTGAAACTTGGCAGCCCTCATGCTCTTAGAAGGGACTACCTTCCCTGTAAGTTTCATCTAAATCAGGCTAGAGATGACAAAGTTATAGGCAGTTTCGTGATTTCCCCAGTGTAGCCTATGGGCAAAACTGTTTCACTGTTTTAACTTCTCAACAAAACAAAACGGAACAGTACTTTCAAAACTAAACAAAACTCTAAACAAAATGCTGTTCTGTCGAAATGGAAGTCAAAGCCAAATGGTGCTGTTTCACATAGCCCTACTGATAAAGACCCTGGCTGCCTGGCCCTCCCTTTCCCACTCCCTCCTGTGCTGCTGCAGCTGGCCCTTGGAAGCTGTGCACCAGTGGCTGCAGCCCCTTGCTGGCTGCTGCCCTTTCCTACCCCCCTGCCCCACTCCAGAGTTCTGCTTTGGCCCCTGGCTGCTTTGGCACCTCACATCCTCAGAGGGTGGGTGCAGCCCCTCCAACATGGCAGAGCAGGGCAGGAGTGCAGGTGCTAGCCTGGGACTCAACACCCCCCTCTTCCCCCCCGCCCCAACTTTGCAGATCCCAGCTGGAGCCTAGCACTGTCATGCTCATCCCCATTCCTGTGCCCAACTGATTAATAGTATAACCTGTTGTAATTACAAAAGGTTAAATAAATATTTATTTAATCAGTATTTACATCCCTATATTGTACAGAGGATGGTTAATTTGTCCTCCGTAGCATCAGAGAAAAGGACAAATGGCAATAGTCTTAAATTGCAGCATGAGAAATTTAGATTGGATATTAATAACTTTCTCAATTTTTTTTTTTAAACATTGGAACATACTACTCAGGGAGGTTGGACATTTTGTTAAATCTGGTTAAACAAACATTTTCCTGGGTTGATGTAGTCAGAGATGGTTCTGCCTTGAGCAGAGGGTTGGACTAGATGTCCTACAATCCTTTCCAGCTCTGTTTTTCTGTGATTTTAAATAGACTACGTTTCCTCAGGACTGAAGAGATGCTGCATTAAGTAGTCCCAAAAAGCATAAACTCTCATTAATATAAGTGGTGCCTATTAAGCAAATGGGGTGTTTCTGCTGTGATATTAACAGCTCCAGAACTAACTCCTCATTTGCAAAGTTTCTAATACTACCCCTGTGACAGCTGCATCCTCTTCAGTATTTCTAGTGTTAAGTAGGCAGTTAGTTAGCATACAATTAACTAGTGCACAGCCAAGTTACGAAATGGATAGTGGCTCTTATAGGTAAAAGGCTCTTACCTGTTTTTAAGCAGTATGCAGATAACTAATGTTTTTAAAGAGTAAGAAATAAGCAACAAATTGGGACTGGCATTGAGTCATTCAGTTAAGCAAATAATGACCTTCTGCAGTATGTGTGTGTGTATATACAGAGTACGCTGTCTTTTCTTGAAATACTAATTGAAATACGGGGTTTCTGTTCTGTTCAGTAATCATTGGGATGCTTATCATTATGGCATGCATATTGTAAAGGTATAGCACAGCCATGTAATTTTATTTCCCTGTAAGTTAGGCATGTGACATTTGGTATGTCTCTGTATATGATGGTTACAGGTTCGTATTTCCAGTGTTTCTGGAAGAACTGGTGTTGTAGATGATAGCATATTTTTCACTCTGGATTCGCTAAGACTTCCTGATGGTTATTCACCTTGTAAAAATGATATGGTCAATGTAGTGATTGTGGAGAGTAACCAGTCATGTTACATTTGGAGAGCACTCTGCATGGCCCCAGCAGACAAGAATGGGTAAGAAGACATTTCTCATGTTTGGAATAAAATCTCTTTTCTTCCACCTCTTAAAACAGGATTAATATATAAGCGCACAACTTCTGATGCCTATTTGAAAGGAGCCACCTGTAGGCTCTACACAGGCAATTCTGATGACAGCTCATTTTAAGCTGGTTTAGTAGTAATTTGTGTTGGCTACAGGCAGAGCTATATTTGAGTATTTGTTTTTATCTTTGATACCACTAGCAGCTTCCTGCAGCAATATAACTATACAGCTGTTTAATGTCCTCACTGTTGTATCATTTGACATTCTGTACAACCATACATTCACTTGTATTTCTTCTTAGTTTGCTTATAAATTAGCTTAATCTTTGGCTTCCTGATCAAGTCTGTGCAGTAAATTACTGTATTTACTGAAATCCAAGATAAGGTTTTTTGTTTTTTGGGTTTTTTTTTCCTCCCAGTCAGAGGAAGGGGGAGAGAGCCTAATCTTGGATTTGAGTACTGGCTTGGGGCCAAAGCCAGAGCTCAGCTGCCCAAGACCTGAATGGCTTGTT